GTCTCGACCCCTGGCTCAGAACACGCTTTTGATCATTCGGCGTCAACTCATGGGAGCCTCCCATACCATCCTGTCGGCTCTTGCGAATCGACGCTAGTCGACGCCAATCGACGCTGAATTGACGCTAAATCGACGCTGATCGACGCTGACCGACGAAAAATCGGCGCTGTCGCATCGACTCCCAGACGCTGATCGACGCGAATCGACGCGACAGACGGACTTGAATGGGTATACCAGGCTCCCATGATTCAGGGGGACGTAAGACCTGGGTACGGGGGACTCGGAAATCCCCGACGAGGTCGTCAAAAAATGACGAGGCCGAGCCTGCATTTTGACGAGGCCTCCCGCTGCAGACATCCCACCAAAAACTCCTACTCGTCAGAATCCGAGCCGCGGTCGTCAGAAAACGATGGCGAACCCGAGTCCTGGCAGACCCGGGTCTTACGCTCCCCCGAATGATCTGCCACCGGATGATCCTGAGCCGGCGCCAGGGTCCCAGGGGCGCGAGGAGGGCCCGCAGAGGCCACCGGAAGCTGCCAGGGGCCAGCCGCCGCGGGCCGCGTCGGGAGCAGGCGGGGGGGCGCGGACCCCCCACGGGGGGACTCGGCCCCTCGCTCGGGACGCGCTGCGGATCCCGACTCGGCCGGCGCCGCGGTCCCCGGGGGCGCGAGGAGGGCCCGCAGAAGCCGCCGGAAGCTGCCAGGGGCCAGCCGCCGCGGGCCGCGTCGGGAGCAGGCGGGGGCACCCCCAGCGCCCTTCGCCCTGCAGAACCCACCAGCACAGATCGTGGAATCCACCGACCCTTCGGCGTGCATGAGACGCTGTCGTCGTCGTCGCCTTCGTCGTCGTCGGGGCAAGTCCCGAGGAAACGGAGGAACGAACAGAAAAAGCAAAACAGAAAAACGTGATACTTGAGTCGACTCCCTTCCCCTTTTCCCTTCCCTGACGGGGGGGGGAAGAAGAGGGGGTACTGGGGGGAGATCCCGGGTCAGATTACCGCCCTGGTCCCCCCTGTGGTGGACAGAGGGGACAGGCATGGGGGTCCCCCCTGTGGACAAGGGCAGGCAGGAGGGGAACCCCCCTGCCCCCCCCCCTCCTTCCCTTCCCGGCTCCCCCTGCGGACACCAGGAGAAACGAAAAAGGGTCCCCCCCACGGACAGGGGGAACCCAAGACCCCTCCCTCTCTCCCCCCCAACCCTTCCGGTGCACAACGGGGGACAAGAGGGCTCTCCCCATTGACAGGGGGGACTCGAGACCCCTCCCCCCCGCCCGCCCCCCCCCGCCCGCGAGGGGACACGGACACGGGGACCACCGCATCTGGGGTCGGCGGCAGGCCTTCACAGCAGGCTCCAATCGGCATGCGCCTCGGATCTGGCGGAACCGGCGCGGCCTCGAACGCAGGCCAGATCGGCCGCGCCGGGCTGCACAACAGTCTGCATGGAAACATCGAGCCGAATCGGATCGTCGGAAGATCGGCTTCTCATCCTCCTCCCCTCCTTCTCCTATGAAGGGGCCCCAGGACACACAAATAAATACACACAAATGAAAATATTCCCTATATTTTCCCATATTTTTGGGGTTTTGTCTTCCCACCCACTTCCCATATTTTCCTATATTTTCTAGGGGATCGACGATTAATTGTGTCTGTGTGTTTACCTAACAGCGAAGACTGATAGGTTTCTAATGGGGTCAAAAGAGAGCATCTGATGACTCCCCAGGGGGGTCTGGGCGGGAGCCGGACAGGCGAGGGCCGGGCTCGTTTTAAGCAAACAGTCACACACTTCGTGCTCTTCGACCTCCCAGAACTCCATTCCCGGGCCACATTCTGAATGCCCGGAGCCAACTGTAGGCCCCTTCGTGCTCTTCGACTTCCCAGAACTCCATTCCCAGGCGACATTTTGGATGCCCGGAGCCAACTGCAGGCCACTTCGTGCTCTTCGACTTCCCAGAACTCCATTCCCGGGCCACATTTTGGATGCCCGGAGCCAACTGTAGGCCACTTCGTGCTCTTCAAGTTCCCAGAACTCCATTCCTGGGCAGGATTTTGAATGCCCGGAGCCAACTGTAGGCCACTTCGTGTTCTTCTAGTTCCCAGAACTCAATTCCTGGGCCACATTTTGAATGCTGAGGCAGGCTGATGCTGCGGCCGAGGCAGGCTGAGGCTGAGGCAGGCTGAGGCTGAGGCCGAGGCTGAAGGCAGACTGAGGCTGAGGCTGAAGCAGACTGCGGCTGAGGCTGAGGCAGGCTGAGGCTGAGGCTGAAGCAGGCTGATGCTGAGGCAGGCTGAGGCTGAGGCTGAGGCTGATGCAGGCTGAGGCTGAGGCAGGCTGAGGCTGAGGCCGAGGCTGAAGGCAGACTGAGGCTGACGCTGAAGCAGGCTGAGGCTGAGGCTGAGGCAGGCTGAGGCTGAGGCAGGCTGAGGCTGAGGCTGAGGCAGGCTGAGGCTGAGGCTGTGACTGCGACTGCCGTTGCCACTGCGACTGTCATCGCGAATGCGACTACGACTGCGAGAACTACAGAATTCTACAACTGGATTCTCATCTGAATCTTAAGGGGAATGCTTCCAAATATGCTCCTACACATCGCTGTTAGGTTGCTTTGCCGGGATAATTTACCTAACAGCGAAGACTGATAGGTTCTAATGGGGTCAAAAAAAGCATCGATGACTCCCTAGGGGGGTCTGGGCGGAAGCCGGACAGGCGAGGGCCGGGCTCGTTTTAAGCAAACAGTCACACACTTCGTGCTCTTCGAGGTCCCAGAACTCCATTCCCGGGCCACATTTTGAATGCCCGGAGCCAACTGTAGGCCACTTCGTGTCTTCGAGTTCCCAGAACTTCATTCCTGGGCATGATTTTGAATGCCCGGAGCCAACTGTAGGCCACTTCGGGGTTTTCGAGTTCCCAAATCTCCACTCCCGGGCCACATTTTGAATCCCGGAGCCCACTGTATGCCACTATCGTGCTCTGGACCTCCCAGAACACTATCCCGGGCCACATTTTGATGCCCGGAGCAACTGTAAGGCCATTTCAGGGGGGGGAGGGGGGGTGCTCCTTTCGAGTTCCCAGAACGACTCCACTCCCGTGCAGGATTTTGAATGCCGAGCCAACTGTAGGCCACTTCGTTTTCTTCTAGTTCCCAGAACTCCATTCCTGGCATATTTGATGCCCGGGCCAGCTGTAGGCCACTTCGTGTGTCTTCCGAGTTCCTAGAATTCCATTCCCGGGCCAGCATTTGGATGCCCGGAGAGGCTGATGCTGAGGCTGAGGCAGGCTGAGGCTGACCAGACTGGGCTGAGGCCGAGTCTGCAGGCCGACTGAGGGCTGAGGCTGAAGCAGCTGAGCTGAGCTGAGGCAGGCTGAGGCTGAGGCTGAGGCAGGCTGATGCATGAGGCAGGACTGAGGCTTAGGCTGAGGCTGATGCAGGCTGAGGCTGAGCAGGCTGAGGCTGAGGCCGAGGCTGGGAAGGCAGACTGAGGCGAGTCTGAAGCAGGCTGAGGCTGAGGCTGAGGCTGAGGCAGGCTGAGGCTGAGGCTGAGGCAGGCTGATGCTGAAGCATGCTGAGGCTGAGGCTGAGGCAGGCTGAGGCCTGAGGCCGAGGCTGAGGCAGACTGAGGCTAAGGCTGAAGCAGGCTGAGTCTGAGGCTGAGGCTGAGCTGAGGCTGAGGCTGAGGCTGAGGCTGAGGCTGAGGCTGAGGCAGGCTGATGCTGCGGCCGAGGCAGGCTGAGGCTGAGGCAGGCTGAGGCTGAGGCCGAGGCTGAAGGCAGACTGAGGCTGAGACTGAAGCAGACTGAGGCTGAGGCTGAGGCAGGCTGAGGCTGAGGCTGAAGCAGGCTGATGCTGAGGCAGGCTGAGGCTGAGGCTGAGGCTGATGCAGGCTGAGGCTGAGGCAGGCTGAGGCTGAGGCCGAGGCTGAAGGCAGATTGAGGCTTAGGCTGAAGCAGGCTGAGGCTGAGGCTGAGGCAGGCTGAGGCTGAGGCTGAGGCAGGCTGATGCTGAGGCAGGCTGAGGCTGAGGCTGGGGCTGAGGCAGGCTGAGGCTTAGGCAGGCGGAGGCTGAGGCCGAGGCTGAAGGCAGACTGAGGCTGAGGCTGAAGCAGGCTGAGGCTGAGGCTGAGGCAGGCTGAGGCTGAGGCAGGCTGATGCTGATGCAGGCTGAGGCTGAGGCTGAGGCTGATGCAGGCTGAGGCTGAGGCAGGCTGAGGCGGAGGCCGAGGCTGAAGGCAGATTGAGGCTGAGGCTGAAGCAGGCTGAGGCTGAGGCTGAGGCAGGCTGAGGCTGAGGCTGAGGCAGGCTGATGCTGAGGTAGGCTGAGGCTGAGGCTGAGGCTGATGCAGGCTGAGGCTGAGGCAGGCTGAGGCTGAGGCCGAGGCTGAAGGCAGACTGAGGCTGGGGCTGAAGCAGGCTGAGGCTGAGGCTGAGGCAGGCTGAGGCTGAGGCTGAGGCAGGCTGAGGCTGAGGCAGGCTGAGGCTGAGGCTGAGGCTGATGCAGGCTGAGGCTGAGGCAGGCTGAGGCTGAGGCCGAGGCTGACGGCAGACTGAGGCTGAGGCTGAAGCAGGCTGAGGCTGAGGCTGAGGCTGAGGCAGGCTGAGGCTGAGGCTGAGGCAGGCTGATGCTGAGGCAGGCTGAGGCTGAGGCTGAGGCTGATGCAAGCTGAGGCTGAGGCAGGCTGAGGCTGAGGCCGAGGCTGAAGGCAGACTGAGGCTGAGGCTGAAGCAGGCTGAGGCTGAGGCTGAGGCAGGCTGAGGCTGAGGCTGAGGCAGACTTAGGCTGAGGCTGTGACTGCGACTGCCGTTGCCGCTGCGACTGTCATCGCGAATGCGACTACGACTGCGAGAACAGCAGAATTCTACAACTGGGTTCTCATTTGAATCTTAAGGGGAATGCTTCCAGATATGCTCCTACACATCGCTGTTAGGTTGCTTTGCCGGGATATTTTTTCCCTCCTGATCCTCCCTCCCCCTTCCTCACTGGGGGCGGCTCCGTGTACCACAGCTCCGAATTCAGGAACTCGCGAGCGTCCTCGAGCAGGGCCTCCGCCTGGTCCAGGCCTGTGCGCACGGGGGGAGGTGCACGCAGAAAAAGGGGGGGGATCCTGAGGAGAGAACGAGAGCAAAACGCACGAGTGCACGAAGCAACAGATGTTCATATATATAGAGAGAGAGAGAGAGAGAGAGAGAACAAAAAAAAAAAAAAAAAAAGAGAGAGAGAGAGAAGAAGAGAGAGAGAGAGAGGAACAGAGAGAGAGTGCGCGAGAGAGAGGGAGCCCGAGGAGGGGGAGCGGAGGCGCGGAGCGAGGAGGGCGCGACCTGGCCGGCAGGGCGCGGCGCCCCCGCGCAGGCCCGGCACCCCTTCCCGCCGGCGGGGCCCGCCGCGGCCCGCCGGGGCCCGCCCGCTGCCGGGGCCCGCCCCCTGCCCGCCCTCCGCCGCCCTTCGCCGCCCGCCCCGCGCGCGCGCCCGCAGGGGCGCCGCCGGTCTCCGCCCGCCCGCCCGCGGCGCCGCTCCGCCGCCCCGCCGCGCCGCCCGAGGCCCTCGCCCAAAGGGCCTCGGGCCTCGGCCCCGCGGCCTCGCGGAGAGGCCGCTCGGCCTCCCTGCCCGGCCCGCGCTCGGGGCCGCGGCCGCCGCAGGTCGCGCCAGATGTCGCCCACGCACTCTGGGAGGCCGGGGTTCGGGACAGAGACGCAAACCAAGGAGGAGGAGGAGGAGGAGGAGGAGGAGGAGGAGGAGGAGGAGGGGAGGACGAGGAGGATGAGGAGGAGGAGGCAGGGCTGGCGCACGGGCGACGCTCGGGCGACGCACTGAACGAGACTCAAAAGGGGGGGGGGGGGTCGCGTGACTGGGCCTTCACAGGAGGGCGGCGGCGAGGGCCGCTCCGGCGCGGCCTCGTCCAGGCGGTCGTGGGGCGGCGCCGCGGCTTCCGCGCGGCCGGCTCCCCCAGGGAGCCCCCGGGCTGGCCTCGGCGGGCCCTCCCCTTGGCCCGGGGCGGTCTCGACACCCTGGCGCCGCCTCTGGCGGCACCCCTGCGGCGCTCCGCGCCTCCGGGTGAGGGTGTCGAGACCGCCCCAGACTCTTCGGGGCGCCCGGCGAGGTCAGCCAGGACTGCCGCCATGCCGTCCTCGTCGTCCTCTGGGTCCTCCTCGTCAGCGGGGCACCGTGTCGGCAAACCTGTCTGGAGATGCATCAGGGCACCTTTCCGGAGACCTCAAGATGCCTCCGACTACCTGTGGGGTGGATCTGCGAAAACCCCAAGGTACCCTTCGGATAACTCGGGATACCTTGAGGACGCCCATAACACCTCAGGGATGCTTCCGGACAACGGAAGGATGCCCGATGACACCTTTTGGATACCTCGGGGCACCTTCCCAACAAAAGAGCACTCTCAGCATCAGAGCCCCAGATGCTCTGAGGTCGGCGGCACATGCCTCAGCCTGTAAATAAGATCCGCAGCAGAAATGTGCAACGTGCACGGATAGAGGGCGGCTCAGCTTCAAAACGAGGCTCTCAACTGAGCGACGATCAGAAACGGGCCCTACGCGAGAGGACGTAGCGACCTCAAGCGGTGGCTTAAGGCGGGCCGCCAGTGCGGCACGCCAGGTGTGAAGCGAGGGCGCCTGCGCGCGACCGCACGCGGGAAGCTGACGCGCGAATGTCGGCGCAGACGGCCACGTGTTTCACTCCATGCCCCTGCATGTCCCTGCATGTCAATGTCTGGTAATCGAAAGGATGGCGCAATGGCGCTTCAGACCCGCCACCGCGCCGCTGGGCACGGAATGGGCGTGTCCTCAGGTCCTGGGCCCAGTCTTCTAAGCCTCAACCCTCACTCCCGAGGAATCTCTAAACGACCTGGACCCCTCGCTCTCAAATCTTCTTGGGCTTGGCGCGTCTTCTCGCCCGACTTGTTCGGGCCCAAGAGGCCCCCCCCCAGGAGATCCCAACGAAGTTCCAATAAGCTTCACAACCATAATCCAGGCACGGTGGCGGGATGGGCCGAAGGCCTTCATATCCGCCGCCCCCTGCTTGCAGGGGTGCACGGCGTGCTGGATGATTCAGGTTTTGGTTTTGGTTCTTTTTCTAAAAGAACTCCCCAGTGGGCTTCGGCCCGTCCCGCCGGCCACCCGCAAATTTCCCAAAATCCATCTGTCAATGCCCAAAAACGGCCGTTTCGCTCGGGACATCCTCAAAAAATCGCGAAGATGGCCCAAGATGGCCTCCAAGTCCGCCCGAGATGGTCCAATACGGCCTCCAGGACGGCCCAAGAGAGTCCAAGACGGCCCAAGACGGCCCAAGAGGCCCCCCAGAGGCCTCCCAGACGGCCCAAGAGGCCTCCAAGAGGTCCTCCAGGAGAGTCCGAAGAGGGCAAAATCATTGATTTTCCCTTGGTTTTTGAAGGATTTTGGCATTTGCGCCTTTTCGGCTCTCCGACGGCTCAAGACGGCCCAAGAATCCCCCAAGATCGCCCAAGAGGCCCCCAAGAGAGCCCCATGATGGCCCAAGTGGCCTCCA